TCGCCTCTTTCATTAGCTATATGTTCCAATGTTATCATTAGTGGTTCATAACAACGAATAACAGCATTAATAGAACGAGAATATGATAGCCATCGTGTATCACCAGGTTGAATTAATTTTAATTGTGGATGTTTTAATAATGTTTGAATATCATTAAAACGTGCTAATCTAGTTGATGACCGATTAATAAAATTGAATAATGATTTCAATGCTAATAAACTTTCTTGTACTTCAGGTATATCTTCACACGCTGATAATAAACATAATTGTAATATATGAGCACGACAATGAATAAATAATATTGAATTTGAATATATTTGTCGAAATTTTGCTGATACACCATTACATTCTTCACTAAAAACTGATGCACCATCAAAACCAGTAAAACGAATTTTTGTCATATCAATATTTTTAGATTTTAATTCTTTAACAATGGTATCAAATATTGTTTGTGCATCTTTATCTTTTATTTTTAATAGACTAATATATGATTGTTGGTTCACCTGTATCTTGATTACAATAACGTATACAAATTGATAAGTTTTGATAGTGATTTATATCTGTGCCTTCATCGGCCATAATTGAAATAATTCTTGATTCACGAATTTTTGTTAAAACCTGTTTATCTATTACTTCACTTGTTGATTGCAATAATTCTGTTACTGTTGTTGTGCTATCATAGGTGGCATTCTTTTGACATTTATCGAAAACTGTTGATAATTTTTTAGTATGATCAATTTTTGATAATAATTCCAGTAATGGTGCATATAATGTTGTATGTGGAAGTTCATGTTTAAATAAAAAATATGCGCCATCTAATAAATCACCAAATCTATGACGATTTTCTTGACGTTCTAATTCATTAACATTAAATAATTGTTGTGCTACTGATCCTTCTTACTGCCTAAATGATAAATTTTGTACAGCTATTTTATGATAAGTAGATTGGTGGTGTTTTTCTAAACGTCCACTTCGTCCAGGTGCACATTTCCAATTGACAAACGGTTGTATAGTAAAAACACCTCTAGTTCTTGTATTCATCTCAGAATAGGATGGTATTGTTGGTTTCCAGTAATCACGACATATACAACAAAATCCATCGTTATTTGGTTCATATACAAGCCACTTATAGTCTTTTGAATACCATTTTTGATATGTACGTTTTTTATCGTCATTTGTTGTTGTTATTCTTGTTGTGGATAATGAACAATTTTCATTAATATTCGATTGAATACCAGATGATGGTTCAGTATTTGAAGCTGCATTTATAATGGTTGTATTATCATTTACAATATTATTTGAATAATCATTTATTTTAATTTTTTTAGGTGAATTATCGTCAGACTCTTTTACATTTTCTTTTCTTTTAAAATATGATATGAGAGATTTTTGTCCTGATGACATTTATTGTAGAAATGAGAAAAAGTTTAGAATGTTTAAAAGAATTTTGAATTTTTTTTTAATTTAATTTTCAATACTCCTTGTTTTATTTTTATTGTTACGTTTCAACGTCAAAGATATCTTCGTCAGACAGAGGTAGAATAAAATGACGAAAATATAATTAATCAGATTATATATATATGTGATAGTGCTGACGAAGAACAACACGGAGACAAAGTGCTAAAGAGACAACGACTAATTATCGCTTTCTTCTTCGTCAGCAGTATCATCTCCGTCCTGTATCGTCATAAGAAAAACACTGTCGAATTTCTGTTGTCTTTTGTATATTATTGTTTTCATCGATTTCGATGTTAAATCTAATATTGGAAAGCGATAATTAGTCGTTGTCTCTTTAGCACTTTGTTTCCGTCTTGTTCTTCGTCAGCACTATCACAGATATATATATATATATATAACCTGATTAATTATATTTTCTTCATTTTATTCTACCTCTCTCTGACGAAGACGTCTTTGACGTTGAAACGTAACAATAAAAATAAAAGAAGCGAGAGTATTGAAGATTAACTCAAATGTACAATGATATTTTTCAATGAAAAAAGCTCATACAATTGATGAGCCAAGTTTATTGTACTTATAACACTTATTGAGATTGAGAAAATGTTTATAATTTCTGAAAGAATTTTCTAATACTCGAATAACAATTACAAGGTGAATTCTCTTTTTTATCGAAAAAGTTTTTAAAATAAATTCTATCATACTTATTTCGTTATAACCAGGCCTCTTGATGGAATTTGCTGATCTATATGACGGCGAAGGTAAGTTGATTGTAGGTCAGTCTTTATACTCTTCACCGTCTGTCACATTCTCTATGACGATTTCAGAATCTAATATTGTCGAACATGGAGATTGATGGACTTGTAGTCTCTTTTAGAATATGGTACGTGGTAGCATAGTCACCACTATTTGCATAGAAATATGCGTCCATGTTTAATATTACATCACGAATCCGTTTCACTACTGAAATTATTTCAATATTTAAAGATGACTTGAAAGATGTTGCTAAACCCTGGCAATTGGTTATAATCAGCAGCTGATATAACAAATTTGGCTACAGAACACGGTATTCACTGTATATGATATTTCGTCGTATTCACTGGTTCCTACCCCGTCGACTTTTACAAGGTCGATGAATCCAACAAATATTACGCGTCTGGAAGAAAGATCTTTTTGCCTTTGTGCGGGATCCAGAAAACTCATTTATAGCAGTCTATAAACAAAATTTCAGCTGTTACGGCGATCACATAATGAGTCAATAGTCCGAACTGCCTCAGAGTTGGAACCTGTTCTCTTTCTTTTTGCGGACACGGACATATACGCTGTTCTTTTTTTCTCGCCCGCGTCCGCAAAAGAAAGAGAACCGGTAAAGACCGGTTTCAACTCTGAACTGTCTGCCAAGCGTCTTTTTAGCAGAGTATTTCACGACTATTTATCAAAGGGGAAAACGCATACTTTTGTACTTCTCCGTACTTCTTGGTACTTCTTGGTACTTGTTCGTACTTTTTTGTACTTCTCCGTACTTTTGAAGTACGAAGTACGAAATCCGCTTTTCCCTCTTTCGTACTTCGTACTTCAGAAGTACGGAGAAGTACAAAAAAGTACGAACAAGTACCAAGAAGTACCAAGAAGTACGGAGAAGTACCGAGAAGTACAGAAGTATGCTTTTCCCCCCTTGCTATTTATCCTCCTCTGCCTAACGCACCTCATAATGTTCCTTATCGATTTTTGCACAAAAACTTTCCAAATTTCTTTGGTCGAGTTTATGATAAACTGAAACAGGATATTCTTGAGTCGAATGGACCTGAGCTTTATGAGGGCAAGATATTTATACCGCACGGATCATTTAACAATACGGCCAAACCATTGATGGTTTCTATAAACTTTTGTAAATATAAAAAAGACGAAAAAATTATTGGTAAACTGGGATATACCGATGAAATTATCGGTAAAAAGACCATTCGGCTTAACACTGGAGAACATATAGAAGCCGATATGATCATTTGGGCTACTGGATTTCTTTAAAAGTTTCCGGTTTTTACTGATGAGCAGAAAGAATTACTGGGATTACCATATGCGAAATCTAATCAAATGAGCTTTTATCGTTGGATAATTCCCGTAAATGTACCAAACATCGGCTTTGTCGACTTCGCATCAAAGATGAATAATTGGATGATTGATGAACTTCAAGCAAATTGGTTGTCAGATTGTTTTTTGTGCCGATTAAAACTTCCATCTAAAAGCGAAATGCTAAAAGACGTTGCAGATATGCAACAGTTTTTAAGCAAATTGTTTCACCGAACTATGCAATATGTACCATATTATTGGTTAGAACTGATAGAAATCTACCTGGACGATATGGGTCTTCCGCTGTAACGAACAAACAATTGGATTTCAGAAAATTTTGGAATATTTCTGCCGGCAAGATGCAAAAATTTACATGTCGAACGAAAAGTAAACGCTGAAGGAAAACTGAGAAGACAATATTACTTTAGCTTTTTCAAATGTATTCTTCTAACTTTGTTGATTGTCTTTACTATTTTTTATATAACGTAGACTTTGTAGTATACCACACATACCATGCATGCTTAAATTTGCTGCGTTTTCTTTATTTCTTAGAAGTGTGCAAACACTATATGTTTCTCTTCTATCCTTCATTTTTAGTAGGGTCGTTGCAGTTTTCTTTCTGTTATTCTCTTATCAGAGAGCGACACGGGCCGAAATAGAAAGCTTTTAAGAGCGGTCGGGCCGGGTTCGAGCCTTAAGTTTTCGTTGTCGGACCTGGCCTGGCCGATGACTTGTGCTGGAACACACGTGAGGTTCACATAAGCATTGAATTCTGCAAGTGATCCATGTTCTTCAATAGACATGTCTTCTGGTAAATCAATGTCTATTCCGCAAAATTTGTAAGCGACACTAGGATCGGTTGTTGTCGACAAATATGTTTTAGCGAAGATACAACCACCGATTTGAGACCTGAGTACATTCACTTCTTCACAACTCATTATTTGACCTCTATACACGGTCAGCGTTGTTTTCGTTACTGGTAAGGATGCGGTGAAATCGTCATGTAACTTATCGATCTGATTATACAAATCGACCACGAAGAAACTTGCTATCAAAATATCATCGATGTTGTCTGTACGAAGTATCTTATTTAATGAACGGAATACAAACGTGTCTCGTACATACCAGTTAATGGCATCCTCCGAATGATATTTTAAGCGAAAGTCCGCAAAATGGAAATCATAATCCATCGGGATCGCCCCTAACGCTAAATATAGAATATGAATGATTGAGCGGAAACCAGACTTCCAATCGCCTTTACAATGAGAGAAATAAGTGTTCATCACCTAATAAAATATAGTTTGACGGCTCAAGTGCTACGAAATGAGATGAATTAAAAGATTCTTTCGTCATCGCTGGCTTATACACAAATTTTCATGTTAAGGCTATAATACGCAGAAAACAACTTTCTTACACTAAGCTTGTTTAAAAACTAAATAAGAATTCGTAATTTTCCTTCTTTTTCACTCTTCGAACGTTTCTTGAATAAAAAAAGCGTAGATCTCGGACAAAGCGTAGACTCTCGGACAAAGATCTTTTCAAATTTTCAAATCCTAAACTTACTGGAAACCTCTTGCAATTTGCGAAACAAAATTTTTATACTTGAAAACGAGTTGCAATCTATCTTCAAATGTTCAATGCGAAAGGGCATAGAACACTAGATCTGCATAAAGAATGCACTTTGCGTTTCTTTTCATATTTTCAAGACGATTTCATATTATTATTGGAGCATATTGTATTATTGAGTGTATAGGTTATACGTTCTATCCCATAATTTTGATTATCCATTCTAAGATATTGAAGGCAAAATTATTGCCTGGCCAAAAAAAGAATGGCCTCGCTCAGTTTTTGTACAGC